CCAGGCTGGCTGTGAACTCATTATATAGGCCAGGCTGGCCTCAAACTCACAGTGATCTTCCTGGATCAGCCTCCCAAGTGCTAGGATTATAGCCCAGCTAAAGTTGTTAAAATGTAATATTATTTGACAAGAAACTATACTGACATATTTAACTTCCAAGTCAGTAAAGAGGGAGAAAAAGAGAATAGTGAAAATACATAAAGATAAAAAAAGACTAGAAAGGAAGAAAAAAAAGTAATGAAGAAGTCTATTATATATAAAGCAAAGGTTAAGTGTGTAAATAGCTGCAAATTAGCTAAAATTAACAATCAGACTAAATTTATTTACTAACTAGACTAAATGTATTTATTAACTAGAGGTTGTCAGATTAGATACAAATAACAAAATCCAGGTATATATTTATTAAACAAGGTTTATAACTCAAGGACATAGAAAGGTTGAAAGACAGGGATAAAAACTAAATAGCCAGCAAAAACCCTCCAAAATAAAAAAGCCCAGCTATGTTAAATACAAACAATTAGGCACAAGGAAGAAAACTGGGTGTGAGAAAGGCACAAATTCTTTACCAAGAACAGAGCATTTCCGAATGTTTATGTACCTAAGACTACATCCTCAAAATACATGTGCATATCAAAATTATAAGAAGGGAGAATTTTAAAGGAAAAACAAATAAAAATTAGAACAGAGAAAATGTGAACAATCAATTCATATCCCAGCTCTCAGCTTTTAGATTCAGAACAGACTTTGCACACATACATTAAAGAGTTACCCAAAAAACCCCTGAAATACACTGCAAAGAAATTTTGAAGAATCATTACTAGCACATAGCTGATGTTCTCTGGCTGTACTGTAACAAAATCCAAAATTAAAGATAGAAGTGTTAAGAATCACATATGAGAATTTAAAAACTTCATTTGCAGTGAATGTAACAGCAAAATACTGGAACCAACCCAAATGTTGTTTATCATATAAGGACAGTAAATCATTAATGTATATTCACATCTTAGAATATTATTCTATAATGGAAATAAAACAGACCAGATACAGATGTAAATATGGGCTATCAGTAAGCTTTTCCACTGTTGGAGACAATATCTGACACGTACCGCTTAAAGGAGAGATTTAATCTAGCTCACGGTTTGGGGGGACTCAGTCCATAGTTCACTGGCTCCAAAGCAGGAACAGCATGGCAGAAAGGCCTGGCAGAGCAAAACTGCTCAATTCACGGGAACTGGGAAGCACAGGAGGGGAATCCTGGAGTAAGAGGGCGGGGCCAGATAGAGTACTCAAGGCCACAGCTCCATGACCTGCCTAGACACAGTTGGAGGCATGCTCCACTAATCTGCTAGGTATTTAGTAATTCAGTGAAGCTCACATATCAGAATTAATGGATTAATGGATTGCGTAATGCTAACCAATGTGTAAATCACAAAAATATAGTTTAACAGAAAATTCAAGCTGTGTAATGTTATGTACTGATAAGATAAAAAAAATTAAAGGTAACAATGCTGCAGATGATCTATAAATGCCTACAAATTTTGTAATATTTTCAAAATGTATATGAGGGGCTGGGGATTTAGCTCAGTGGCAAAAGTGCCTGCCTGGCAAGCACAAGGTCATGAGTTCGGTTCCTGGTACCGGAAAAAACAAACAAACAAACAAACAAACAAAACAAAATGTATATGAGAGTGATAGATACCACCTCCAGGGACATGGTGCGTCTGGGGAGGAAGGGAGGGGTGTGATACAGTAAGGCTGCGCGGAAGGCTTCAGTGGTATTCTTACTGCGAACCTTTTATGAATGTAATGGAATATTAAGAATGGAGGAAATTAGTGGTCACAGGTATATGATCATTCTATATATATGTATTCTCTCCATATTTTTTGAGACAAGGTCTCACTATATAGCTCAGGCTGGCCCCAAACTCAGAGTGATCCTCCTGCCTCTTGCACCACCGTGCTTGGCTCTCTTTATATTATTAAGCTTAAAATATACCACCATAAAATATTTTATGTTGTTGCTTGACCTTACAATTTTTCTTTCAATATATTGAATTCTAAATAGTAAATATTCAATGTTCTATATAAATATGCAAAAGTGGGATCCTATTATATATACTGATTTTAGGAAATTATTTCTTTACCTATCAGTATGTTCTGATTATCCCTTCCATGTTAATATATTCTTCTACCCCAGCACTTATAAGATCTTTGATACATGCTGAAAAATTGCTCTCTTGGGTACTTTCTTGATTTTTCCTCACCAAAGCATAGAAAATTTGGGTAACTTGCAGTGGAAGGAATTTGGAGCATAAAAGAAAGGAAGATCACTACAGAAGAACATTTTAAAGAACATCAGTTCATCATACTGAAGAGAAAGTGAGCAAGATAACTGACAGAAAAATCCAAAATGAGAAAAAGAAATCTGGTGAAGCCGATCTAAGGAACCCTAAATATTAAAAGGAAAATGCTAAAAGTAAAACATGCCTGCAGGCAGAATACACTGTAGCTCAAAGTAAAACCGTCAACCTTACAAGTGAAGAAACTGGATCAGATCATTAATACATATAGAAGGCATAAAAGCAATTTCAGTTAGAGCTAGGCAAAATGAAGGAAAGTGCCCGATGAACATCATAGCATACTGGCATAAAAGAAGGGAAGGCCCCTTATTAAGTAAATAATTTCTCAAGACCCTTGGAAGGAAAGAAATATTTAACAATTTTTCATAAAGAAATCTGATAGCTCATGTGTTGGGAGGAACACTGTTTTCTTGGAGCACAGAACCAATTCTCAACCTAGCCTCCCAGTATCTTTAACGAGCTATATTCCCTTATTATCCCACCACTGACTATCATAATTTACAGGTCAGAGGACTGGAGAGCTGAACCACAGTAAAACAAAGGCTTCCCACTCAGCAATTTGTCCTTTTCCTGCCTTTACCTTGAAATGGTAGAACTAGATCATTTTCTTGAACCAAGAGCATATTCTAAATAAAAATTTTCAGGTATGTTTATCAAACAGCTGTGTTAGAAAATGATGAAAAGAACACTGCTATAACAAACAAGAGTCAGAGCTAAAATAATGTCTTCCTGATTTTAAAAAAAGAATAGTTAATAACAACTATTATGTATTAATGGTTTTTGGGTCCATGTTTCCTGATACATTCTTTGACTTCACTGGCATGATATGCTGCCGTAAAATTATCATTATCATTTTAGATTGGAATAAGGAGGATGCAGGTGGGGAAAAACTATGTGAGAAATAAGAACAAATAACTAACATTCTCATATCATTTAAAGCAAATTCTGCCACTGGCTGCCTATAATTCCTTTCCCACACCATGTGTTGTTAGTTTGGGACTATAAATGTGACAAGCATAAAGTGAAATGTCAGCCAAATACGACTTGAGTGGGGAAAACCACAGTTCATCATGTCTCAAGGTTTTAAAATTAATTTCATGCTTTTTAAAAAGAGGAATAAAAATTTGAAGGTGGAAAATTATTCCTTTCATAGTTGAAATGAAAACAATATTCATTGTACTGTGAAAATGAAATGCTTTTGGGACTCGTGTATAGAAAAGTTATTGAAAAAGAAAAGGCCAAATTTTCATATTATTCTACATTATTTCATATGGGTCTACATAATTACATCTTCTTCAAGTTAAAGATAAATAAATCTGCAGCATGTTTTGTTAAAAATTCACTATAATATATTACTCAAGGTAATGTCAAGGAACAGGTAAAAGACAAAATCTTTTAAGCTGGTGAAAAAGTGAATTCCTCATTAATTTCCTCACAGACACTTCACTCAGTTAAGTGTAGAATGAACAGCACCATTCGTGCCTTCAAATGATGTCTGGGAACTGACAGCACTAGGTCTTGTAGGCTAATACGGGGATCTGGATAGATGATAAAACCAGAGGACCAGGGAAGTGCTCCAGAAATGTGCAAAAGGTCAACTCTGAGGAAATGGGTGGGTCATATTTTCTATGTTGGATAAAAGAGAAAAATGACCTTGATTCTCCATACAGCATCATTTAGATGTCCTTGCCCATTCAAATTTGCCTATAGTCTGTCCCCATTGGACTGTGTGCTCTGGGAAGGCAGGAAGCGCCCTGTTCATTCTCTGTCTTCATGGACTTTGGTTCTACAGGCATTCAGTGAATGTTTCTTTGAGAGGTAAAGCCCGAAGGGTACATTTAGAAGATTTGTACAGAGAGATTCTCTGGACAATGTTTATAAGGCACATAGGAAGGAAAAGCGAGGTGGAAAGACAAGGGTGGAGTCATGTGATTCAGGAGATGTGCAAGTAGCATCACAGAACGCAGTCAACGCCACATCCAGGTGGGAACGTTTTAAGAGTAATGAGGAGGTTAGGAGTGACAGACAGAGCAGAGATGTGTAGGAAAGGGAGCTGCTGGCTTTGACCAGGAGAACAGCACGGACACAGCGTAGTTCTGTGAGGGCAAGCACGCGCATCAGGTCACAGAGACAAGGGAAGTAAACCTTTTACAAATTCAGAATTTCAAGGCTTTGAAAATGTAGTAAAAGAAGAAAAGTGTTCATTCTAGGGCACTGATGGAGAGGCTTTTAGAGCTCTCCATGATACGAACAGCCCTCTGCTGCATGAGTGCTGTAGGGTCGCCACCACTGTTTTAGAGTAGCTGTGTCTTCTACTTGTGAACCTTCCCGTAGCTAAAAGCAGTATCTACAGCCAGCCACCTTAAGCGTCAGGGAAAGACAGTGGATCTAAGAAGTTACAGGAAAATAGCAATATTTTTAATATTTAAAAATGTTCTACTACATTTGTAACCTAAGTTTTTAAACTTAATATTCTTCTACCCCCAGACACACACAAAACTCTGTAACACTATAATTTAGGATTAGCAGGTTAGAAAAGTTAATGTCAGTACATTTAAGTAATCTCCCCAAAGACAGTACGTATATACCTCCTCTGAAGAAATGGCTCCGGGCAGAAGTCAAGAGCGGTTAGATGCTCACCCTCAGCTGTGCTCTACTGCTTAATGTTCTGTCTCGGTGCATTCCTATTGCGCTGTCCATGTGCTCCTCTAGTACATCTGCCACCCTTCAACTTGGCCTCTGTCAGCCTTTTGGAGTCCTTCCCAGCAAGAGGACAAGGCTTGCAGAGGTGTGTTACAATGAGCGCTGTTTTTCACTACTCAGAGCTTAATCTTCTTACATGAGGTGTTCCATTGTAACAGAAAATGCCTCCTCCCAGCCAGTATGCTTCAGGTTCTTAGTTGCCCAGGTAACAGTTCCTGTTCCAGTTCCAGATGCTCCTGTCTCTTAGGAACGGCTGGTCACTATGATGCACATTGCATAAGCCAATCCCCATTGACCAGCCATTCTGCCTCTGTCTTCCTGTTTGCTTCTCCCGTCTGAGCCCTAGACCACCAGAGATCAGGGCCTGATGTTCTGGGAGTGCTCCCAATTAGTGCCTCTCGACGTGAAATAAATCTGCCTCCAAATCCCGGGTGTCGTTTCAGTGTTTCTGTCCACCGTGTACCATAAGGCCGACAGGTAATTTCAAGGAAACCATAAGAAGTACACTGTGGTGCTGTTCCTAAAGGAGTCTCGCGCACATTCAGAGCACACCCTGAAGCCCGGGTCCCCTTCCTGCCGTTAACATAGCCCTAAACAGACTCTAGATCTTATGGCTCCTTTGTGTCTTTGGAGATACTGACATTTCTGTCCTCGGTCTACTGTAAGATTCCATGTGCCTGCAAAAGTTCTCCAAAACAAACATTCCTTCCACTATTACCAATTGAAAGCAGCGCTTGCTATTAAAAAAGTAAAAAGTCATCCTGCCGCAGTTGAAAGAGAAAGTGGCTAAATTTAGACTTGCATTTTGGAATCACCTCTCCTGCTGGCATTCTGGCAAAATTAAAATTTCCGAACAATTTTGAGTGAGAGAGGCCCTCGTGGTAAGACCGCAGGGTGTGGCTGTGTGCTGGTAGTTGCCGGTCCTGTGAGCGTTTCCGGAGTCCACAACGGGGAGACTCAATCTTCGTCATCTGAGAGACCGTGTATCTTTGAACTTAGCCACTCTGCTGTATTTGCCAGCCTAGAAAGCACAACCCCAGCCCTGGCAAGTGTTTAGTCTTAGAGGTGTCATTATCTAAGGCATTTTATCAGTAAGAACACGCTGCCTTCACCTGTCAGGGTTCCCCAGCAGCAGGCTGGGAATCTACGTGAGCATCGCAAGGGTATAGTTTATTGTCCTGTACGCCAAGAGTCCTTGGAAGAGCAGGAGCCCTCGGGAAGCAGCCAAGATGTAGTATAGAAAAAATACTTCATTGAGCTGTCTAGAAACAGTATTTTATAGGTTATGGAATGGAAAAAGGAAACATCTAAGCTACTACATGGTAAGTAAAAGGTGCAAGCATTGATTTTTTTCTTTAATCCTTTGGCTGTCTTTAAAATGATCCTTACTGATTATGGTGAAATACTTTTCCAGAGGAGTGTTGAGAGAATAAAAGTCCAGTCATCCCTCTTCCATTCCAAATAAACTTTTAGCAATATACAGTATTTAAAAATTATTATAGTTATGGACACATACTAATTGAATAAATCTGTTTCACTGTGACATTTACATGCACACATAGCGTCTTGACTATGTCGATTTTCCTCTGTGTTTTCACCTCCTCTATCTCTCCCTTGTGAGTCGCTTTCCTCTTGTTTTTTTTTTTTTTTTTTTTTTTTTTTTTTTTTTTTTTTTTTTTTTTTTTTTGTGGCTTGCTTTTTTTGTTTATTTCTACATGAGAAGAAATATGTAAAGCTTCTTTCTCAGTCTGGCTTATTTTGATGATACAACGTCCTGAAGTTCCACCCAGTTTCCTGCAAGCGCCGGGATTTCATTTTTCTTTCTGGCTAAATGATACTCTATTGTATAATATCTAGTATTTCAAATAGGCTCAGTGTTCTTTCTCTTCTTCCAGAACCAGTGACATCATGGCCATCTCTCATATGTAAATACCAGATTTTGTACACATTTCTTTAATGAGATCTTCTGTTCCTCTATGGAAAAGGAAATTCTTTCTTCTCCAGGTGAAAGCTTTCTATTCTATTCTCCTCAAACCTCCCGGCAGTGTAGAATGACATCACGCTGAGAGACAGCACATGGGAGTAGTCATAATGTCCTGGCTTTAAGTAAGTCTGTACTCTAAACAGACATGTGACCTTGGGCAAAACCTTAGCCTTTCTAAATCCCAGCTTTCTAGTTTATAAATAGGATTAGTAATATCGGCCCAAAAGAGTTGCTCAAAAAATAAAAGATTAAATATACAAACAGTACCTGGCACAGAAGAAGGCACTTACTAAATAGTAACCGTTACTGATATTATCAATAGACCTTAAAAAAGACATAAACAGCTATTAATTTTTCACAGCAGAAAAAAAATTACACTTGAGGGAAAAGATGAATGGGGCAATCAAATAATCTACTGATTAGCTTAAATTCCCTATCATTTTCAAATAAAAAAACCACTTATAAAATGAAGAAAGTCTAATTTGCTGTGGGTCAGGGAGTGGCCTGAGGTCACATATGAACATTATTGTTTCCCCCATGCTATTTCCATCCGCTGAAGCACATTCCGCTTGCATGATTTCAACCAGGAGAAGATCTGCACAGTAGAGAGAAAACCAAATAAATTCTTGCATATGTTCCTATGCTAGGGATAACGTATGGGCTAACGGAGACGGACTAGAAATGCTACAAGCTGCCCGCAAGGGCTCTCCTGCAAGTCCAGCCCCAGGAGCTGCCTCTGGCTACTTCAGATCAAGGGTTCTTCTCGGTGCAAAAGATCAGCTCCTCTTCCTCTACTCTGCCACAGCACACGCTCTGGGTCTGTGGCCGGCATTCACCTGCAGGGCGGCTGTGAGGAAAGTAGGATGGAGAGACGTGGAGGTGAATGCACCCTTAATGAGAAAAACATGAGAATGCTTTTTAGCAAACCCTGACGCTCTAATGTATAAAATGTGAACTCTGACTGAGTCATTTCGAGGTTTACTCATGAAAATGTGCACTTTCTTCCCTTCCTACATTTTTCATTAAGCTGTTCTTTGCCTCATGTGTAGGTAGCAGCGTTTTATGTTCTTTTCCCAAATGGAAAGACCAGAAAAGTAAAATCAACAAGTAAAAAATTATTTATAACTTAAATAACCATTAGGCTTATTGGTGGGGGAAGAGAGAAAAGGACTATAAAACCCAAAATTGCTGTATAATAACCATTTAATGAATACAGACTCCTTAATTTTATCATTCCCTTATCTAGTTAGTATTTTTAATTCAACTTTTATCTGTTTTGTTTCATATGTCTTTTACTTGTTTTCCGCATTTGTTATGCACCCTATTTCTGTTTTATAAATTGCCCATTCATTCTGAAACTTCCAATTAATGATTTAACCAATTTCTTCTAATTTTCTATTTTTCATAACTCTGCTTACGCCAGTCTTCATTCTGAACTATTATACATTAAACTTAAGTTAAAAAGAAATCTTAGGAAATGAATAACTGAAGGAACCATTGCCAAAATAAACAGAAACCTTAAAAACATTAAGATAGATGAAGCAATAAAAATATAGAAGGGAAAGAAGAGAAGAAAATCAAAGAGAGAATAACAAACATAAGAACGTAGGAATGATCCATGTTTCTTAACAGGCACCAAGTTCCCTAAACTCATCTATACCAGTCAGTCTGACCTTCATTTCTTTATGCCCCTGAAATAGGAAAGCAGGAAAGCAGCCCTCAGGGAAAGCCCTTAAGCTCTGATGGGTTGATGGAATAAGGGAAATGGCCTAAGAATGCAAAGCTGGGAAATGCTACTCACTTCCTCATCTCCTCACGCACATTTGCACCTCCTTGCAGTATTTGTGCGTTTTCTTTACTGTTCCGTGACATAGTTTATGTCTTTTCTTGCCTTCATCCTGTATTCATCATTTTTTCATTTTCTTATCCTCTTATCCCTGTAAAATCAATTTCCTTCTGTTCCTGCACTTTCAAAGCCCCTGAAAATCTTCCGGCAGTTCCTGCAGCTCTCTTCTTCTCTTTGGTTACACATGCTGTCCTGTCCTGCAACTCATCCAAACTGTCAAGATACAAAATTACAATAAATTTAGCTTTAGACCTAATTGGCATTTATTTACAATTTAGGCATGGGAGCAGCCTCTGTTTTAAAAACTAGAACGAGAGCCCCTGGGCCCATGGTACAGCAGTGGGTTGCTTAGCTAAATGAGTTCTGTCAGGTCACTTTTTTGTAAGTGTTGCATGAGACTTTTTGTTAAACTGATCCAGGTAGACTGGAATCTCCTGATTTCAAGAAAAATTGGTTTGTCTTTGGCCCCATTAACTTCCTGTAGTTTTAACTTGCTCACGTGGCATTTACATACGAGTGACTCTGCGTTATGTTCACGTGGTCTGTTGGTCCTACTGCAAGAGCTTAGTCCAGACAATGAGCTTCTGTACTAATTGTTTAACATTATCAAGCCTCCTACCCGAGAGGTGACTCTCCTTACTCCTAGAAGAACACAGTGCCCTTTTCTTTACAGAAAAACAAAACCAAACCTAGATGCATTGATCAGAAGCTTCAGCAATTCCTGATGGCTTCAAGAGCATCTTTCATACAACTTCCTGTTTGCTTCATTCGAATCTCAGATGATCAAGTATCTACTTTTCCAAAACTAAGTATTTCACCTGGACTCAATCCCACCCCTTCTAAGGAATGTGCTCCATCAGTGTTTTGTTGTTGTTTTTTATACCTCTAACTCTGTCTTTGTGGTAGAATAATTTTATGGATGTGGGACTAGTTAGAAAAGAAGAAGAAAAAGACAAGAAAAAATAGATATAATTACAGATTTTAAAATAGCTAGAAGAGGAGATTTTGAATGTTTTGCTACAAAGAAATGATAACTGTTTAAGGTATGGATGTGCTAGTCATCCAGAATGGGTCATTGTACAATGTGTGCATGTGATCAGAGCATCACATTGTACCACATACATTTAGACAATTATTATGCATTATTAAAACTAAAATAAAACTTGGAAAAAGAGGGTGAAATGGATGTGCAAAATAAAGAACTAAGGTGGAGGTAGGGCAAGTTAGAAGAAAGAGACAGAGGGAGGGAAAGGTTTAAATTGGGAAGGAGAGATAAGAGAGGAGAAGGGAAGTTTGTTCTGAAGAAGACAGTGTGAGAAATGGGATATTGCCAGAGGAACAATTTGGATCGACTTTACTATCATGTGAGAAATATCAGTAAGAACATATTTTTCCTGTTTGGATATGCTTCTTTTAATCTCTGTCTCTGTCTCTCTTTCTCTCTCTCTCTCTCTCTCTTTCTCTCTCTCTCACACACACACGCATGCACACATACA